TAAATATAGTCTAAACCACCTTGATTTTTCGAAATATTGCAAAGTAATTTTCTTCCTAGCGAAAATCGATTAAGCACTCAGAGGCCCATTTTCAACGGCGCCGACATTAAGTAGGTGTCTCATAAATTAATTAGACTACGACCGATTCATGGGCCGACCACACAATCATGCTACGAAAGTTGTCATCTTTTGGGGTGACTTCTGACACGGCTAAATGGTTTGAGTCATATCTTAATGGACGAATGCAATGTACATCTTGCAGTTCGGAATTGTCTGATTTGTTACCTATTATGCATGGCGTGCCTCAGGGCAGCATTTTGGGCCCTTTGTTATTTCTTATTTATATAAATGATTTGCCCACTTTCATCAAGCATTCGGAGGTAGCCCTATATGCTGATGACGCAGTGCTTTATTGCTATGGCTCAAACTCAGCTGGTCTGGAGTGTGCCCTAAATGCCGACTTGTTGTTGTTATTTTGGATTAGGACCTCTCTATAGATCACCTACGGGTGAGAGAGCTTCTTGTTTAAATATCAAATATCAACAAATCAAATACTAAAATAAAAGAAACGCACCAGTACCGAAAGCGTTCAAATATGAAAATAAAAAGATAAGACTTACTTAAGCAACGTAGACTTGAAGGAAGCCTAATAATGTATTGCTCAACATCATCTGCAGCAGGCCGAAACGACTAATTAGTAAAAGAAAAATGCGTAATACATTAGCGCCGATATCTGATATGCAGATCCAAGTAAAGTGGAAAAACAAAGTATTGGAACTTTTCTGCTGACCAGTTCTGAACTATGATTGTAATGATGATATGTAGACGTGATAACAAGAATGATAAATATAATAATTATATTGACAACTATAATAATAATCATGATTATAATAATAAAGATAGTGAGGATAATAAGACAAGCAATGAAATTGGAAACAAAAAAGACAAAGAAACATGTTTGATGTGTGAGCTCTTTACAATATTTCCAACACTAGTAATCAATCATGCATTCCATCCGAATATATTGTTAGCATCCTTTGTTTCACGTGAGGAAAATATACAGTATATCTTCAGAGGCATGGATTTTTTGTATCTGAAGGAGATTTAGAAAGCCTCCAATGATTACAGAAATAAAGAAAATACGTGAAAAATACTGAAAAGAAAACAAATCAAAATGGTATAGACAGCGGTTTATAAAGACCTGATGTGATCGATCTGGAAACACATGCAAAACTGCAATCTACCTTTCACTTTCGTAATATGGAAATTTTATGACAGGCGTCGCTAGGACGAAGTAATGCATATTCCTATTCCCTGAAATTCTAAAGACGTAAATCGTGATAAATAAATGCTGTTGACGCAATGTGATTTTAACTCCAACTGTATATGTTCATTAAACCTTTTTTATCAAGCCGAAATACACTGGATAAAATGATATTTTCTCTATTTCTCTGGTTCGTTATTAAATTTTTTTATTCGTTATTTTGCTAGACAAGATGTCAGACCTGAAGCTACCAAATCGAAGCTTAGCTGCTGTTATAACTGAGGCAGGCATCTACCTTACACTGAACATCACAAGCATCATTGGAAACGGTCTGGTTTGTATAGCAGCATACAGAAACCCAAAGTTACGATCGACCACCAACCTGTATATCATTGCTTTAGCAGTCAGCGATTTGCTGTGCGCAACAACTGAAATGCCTTTAGCTTCTTCAACGCTTGTTATTGGAAGATGGGACTTTGGCGACGTCGTATGCGAAATTCAAGGCTTTGTTGATGTTTTCACCACATACGCGACCCCAGCAACTCTTGGTTTGACAGCAGTCAACCGCTATGTGAAAATTGTGAAGACGGCGAAACATAAAAAATATTTTTCGCCCCTCAGATCCAAATTTGGTTGTTTTGCGTTTGGAATTTTCTTGCGCTTTACCTTTTGACTGGTCGAGCGACAAATTTTCTCAGTTTTGAATTCGTACCTTGCTTTGACGTGTGCGCCCTTGGTTTTGCAAATCAGAGGGTTCGAGTCGTTCATTTTTGCATAACATTCGCATTGTTTTTCATTGTACGGCTATGCAGTGGTATATTCAGCTCCTACAAGGTATTATCCACTACCCATCAACATCAATTGAACACAGCCCCATCGCT